CCCCCACCCCCCCACCCCCACCCCCACCCCCACCCCTACCCCTACGCCCTACCCCCACCCCCACTTCCTACCCCTACCCCACCCCTCCTTTTTTTAAAATATCATCTCTCTGTCCTGTTTTTATCGAAAGGAATATAAATACGCTAGTATGTCATCATGCTATTCTCTTTTCTATATTCCATGCTAGTGTTATTTATAAACAATTTTTAAAATATCATCTCTCTGTCCTCTTTTTATCGAAAGGAATATAAATACGCTAGTATGTCATCATGCGATTCTCTTTTCTATATTCCATGTTAGTGTTATTTATAAACAAAGTTGATAAGATGGTCTTCACCACCTATCTCCTTAACTTAAAGTATCTTTTGCATGAGGCCATTAGTTTTGAACTAATACCACTGCTTTTTTAAATTAGATTGGAGAAAGGGATAATAATAAGGTTAGTGTGTAATACCTCTTGGCTGTCTCATGTGAGGAAGTGATAAAGAATAAATTTCCTACCTGGAAGATATTTTCTTGAACAACAAGATAAAATAAAGATATGTTGATAAGATTCCATTCCTAATTTGGGCATCACTCATAAAAAATTATTAGATATTTTTTAAGGAGAAAACTCCTGAGAACTAATTTAAAAATCCAAGGTTAAAAAAATGGTTGATTCTATCCGGATTTGCTTGATCCGGATCAGCAATTGGTGGAAATGTCTCGGATCTACTAATAAACAGGATCCGACAGTTTTTCTACAGGGAATCGCTTAATGATGTTACAAATCGGTGTCATGACCATAGTTAGCAAATCGCTGTTTAATCGGCATTTTTATGGAAACAGTTTTAAGCGACGACTTTTTGAAAAGGTTGGCAAAAAATCACGTAGTTTTCATGAAGCCGTTTAAAATGTGCTTTTTCATAATACGATTTAAATCAGGCAAAAAAATCGTATCTTTTTTACCTATATTTTTTTTTGAAAGATATTTTTTTTCCTATTTTATCTATTGCAGCCATTGCTACTTTCTTGCTTTATAAAACAATATTACTTAAAAAATAAATAAATAAAAACTTTTATCCCCACTGTGTTCTTCAAAGCCATAGTTGCATATTAATGGTATGATTTTTTTTTTAAAACTTAATCAAATAGAAGCAAATTTCCATTGTCTTTCTGAAAAATCATTGTGTAAATGAAATAATGTTTATAGCAAATAATTTTGTAAAGTAAATCATTGTATAAAGAAATCATATACATGCATATTGCTATGATTATTTGTGATAATTGTTTTTGTGAAGATACTGTTAATGGCACAAATTAAAGCTTAAAATATAGTTTTTTTTACCGATGAATGAGAAGCGGATAGTGTGACTACAAAACCAAGTAATCAATATTTTGTTTTTGATTGTGTAAACTGTAAACTTACAAGAGCAAGCAATTGTACATATAGGATTAGTTTTCCAAACTTAATCTTTCAGCTCTGCTTACTGTTTTCTCAAGAAAATGAAAAACCTTCATCAAACTATCCCAAATAAGAGAGAAAAACCTTCTTAAAACTATCCCAAATCAGCAACCCATCTTCCTTGTCTCTCTCTAAAAATCAGTTAGGGCTTCTTCCATTACGGTTCTTCCTTTTCTCTCTTTAAAAATCAGTTAGGGCATCTTCCATTAGGGTTTGTGAAAACCATTTTCTTCTTCTCTGTAAACCCTAATGACTATGAGCCCATCCCTATTTTCTTCTCTTCCTTCTTCCTTTTTCCTTCTCTCTTCTCTCTTCTCTCTTGTCTCTTGTCTCTTGTCTCTTCTCTCTTCTCTCTTCTCTTCTTCCGTCATTCTTCTCTCTATACGGTAAACGCAGATGTGAAACCCAATTTTCTGCGAGCCTCTTTTCAATTAAAGAAATTTATAAAACTTTAACCATAGTTATGGAGTGACCATAGTCACCATACCAGAGTTAAAGAGAAAACAAAAATCGTGTATTTATTTTTTGATATTTAAGTATTTAATGAATAAATTTATAGTATATTTGTCACTATACCATATTTAAAGTATTTTAATTAATAAACTTACATAGTATATTTGTTTTTGTATGTAATAAGTAGGTGTGATGTTTCTTAAAGTATTTAACGGGTAGATTTATATGGTACATTTTTTTTGGTATATACTAGTTAATTTTATATTTAATATTGGATGAGAGTCACGAGGCATCTGAATTAATTGACTTAATTATATTAGTCTAGTAAAGTTTTTATAGATGAATTAGGAATTGACGGCTATGACATAATTTTTATATTTTAGAATATCAAAATTTCTAATATTATAAATTTATCCAATTTTTTGACTCCTATTTTTTTAGCCTAATCCGGTATATTAGAGATATCTTTATATGACGTATTTTTGTCAATCTGTATTTTTTACCAGATTTTTTCACTCGATTTTTTAAAATAAAAAATGATTTGTTTCCGATTTAATGATGCATCACAAATCGAATACATCACTGCATGATATCACAGATTTATAAAGGCTCAGTCGGTAGAATTTA